CACCTGTGCTGAACAAGACTACTGATTACATCAGGAAAAACTCCATTAGTTGACCTTTGCTGGTTTGTGACAGTCTTGCTGTAAGGCTGGCCTTGAACTTGTGATCTTCCTGCCTCAATCTTTAGTTGCTTGGATTACAGATGTGCACCACCATGCTTGTCTCATTTTTATTCTCTTTTCTCCCCACTAATCCAGAACCACTAACAGGTAACTGTTTCTATCTGGAATCTAGTAATACTGTTTATTTTCTTCCCATATGCATGAACACCAGATACTATTTTTCTTTTTAATTTACTCCAATGTTAGGTTTCCTATTAAGATAATTTTTTTTGGTGAAAAATGTCTTTTTTTTTTTTTTTTGCGATACTGGGCTTTGAACTCAGGGCCTACACCTTGAGCCACTTCACCAGCTCTTTTTGGTGATGGGTTTTTCTAGCCCAGTGACAAAGGTCATCTTTAACTCCCCTTTTTTTTCTTTTTTCGTTTAATAAATTGATTTTGCAAACAAATTGTATAATCCTCTGATAAATTAACACCTGTAATGGATGCCCCAAATAGAACACAACTGTAAAGGGCTGCTGTGGTGTTACATGCCTGTAATCACAGCTATGCAGGAGGCAGACGAGGAGGCTGCTGTCTGAGGCAGGCCCAGGCAAAAGTTTGAGACCTCATCTCAAAAATCAACTAAATCTGGGAGCAGGTGACTCACCCCTGTAATCCCAGCTACTCAGGAGGCAGAGATCAGGAGGTTCACCATTCAAAGCCAGCCTCGGCAAATAGTATGTGAGTCCCTAGCTCAAAAAACAGCTCTCACAAAAAAAGGTCTGGTGGAGTGGCTCAAGGTGTAGGCCCTGAGTTCAGCCTGAATACCACAAAAAGTAAACTGTAAAAATAAACGCAACGTGTATAGGAACCATTTTACTGCCTATGCAACTGTAAACACCATGTAATACTCCTCAGCAACACAAAATAAAATTTATTTCCTCCCTTCCTTTTTTTCTTTCTTTTTTTTTTTTCAAAGCTGGTATTGAACCCAGGGCCTTGCACATGCTAGGCAAGCACTCTGGCTCTGAGCTACACCCTAAGCTCTTGGTTTTTTGAGACAGGATATCACTATGTAGCCCAGGTTGTCCTCAGCCTCACAAGGTCTGGGATTACAGGCAGGCACTACCACTTGTGGTTATATTTTTAAAAATGTTCACACCAGGGCTGGGGTGGGGGTGTAGCTTAGTAGTGGAGCACTTGCACTTGCCTAAAAAAGAAAAGAAAACCCTTATCATTCGCAATAATCCTAATATAATAATGATAATTCAATGCAAAATGCATTTACATTTATGAAATGTCAAAACATTTATTTACCATAATACATGATGTTAAATTCTGCTGAATGTGTCGTACAGTGGGCTGGGTGATCCCTGGACCATCTTCTAGCTTAGAGAACTTACATTTGGGGGATCTGAAGAGTTCTCAGGTGTTCTGTCTGCTGGACGTAATCCTGCCACGCTCAGGCCTCAGTGAGAAGGGTCAGGACACAGACCGTCCCTCTCCTCCCCTCCCTTTCCCATCAGATTTACATGGGATTAAATATTACCCTCCACATTTGATCTGTTTGTTCAGCCTGACCTCTACATGCTTTGGCTGAGGAAGGAGCCCAGAGAGGAACAGCAAATTTCCTGGGCACCACAGCGAGACCTCGGCTGAGCTGGGGATGGGACTTAGGTCCCATCTGATACCTGGCAAAACATTGGCCAGTTCTGAATTGGATCAGAGATAAGGTTGATATCCAGCCTTGACCTTGAGCAGCCCCAGTTGTCAGAGCTGCTAAGGGGCACATGGAGCTGGTCACCCACAAACATGAATTCAGCCCATTTGATGGCAGTGGCGTCCCACAGAGATCTGTGCTCCATGCTGTCAACACATGACATGGACAGTGTGAAGGCTGTCACAGTCACTTTGTCCAGCCTTTGCCAGAAGGTACATAAATAAAATCAGTAAAGCCACAAGGCGCTGAAGGAGGGATACCAGGCACAACTGCTCAGGTGAGTGGCTCTGTGGTGAGCACGCAGCCAGCACCCCAACCAGCCAACAACAAGAAAGTGAACTCCAGCTGGGCACGGGTGGCCCAGTCTCAACAATGACAAAAGAAGCACCACAAAAGACTGGCAGAACCTTGCACACAGGCTACTGCAACTTCACAAAAATCCTTGCGGAAGGATATCACCCAGCTGGCTCATTTGGCCTGAGGCCACCCTTCTTATCGGTCCTTGTAGCCAGGGCTTATTGTTTCAAAATGTCTTATGACACCTACTAAACTGACTTTAAAATTTTGCTCTTAGCCTGGTGTAGTGGTTCCTTTCTATAATCCCAGCACTCAGGAGGCAGAGGCAAGAGGGTCTTGAGTTCCAGGCCAGCCTGGGCTCCATAGCAAAACCCTGGCTCAAAACAAATAACTAGATAACATAAAAATTAAAACAACTCTCTCTTGCCCTCCATACTTCTCATTTAAATGTTGACAATATTGGGAGGCTGAGATCCGATCCGGAAGATCTTAGTCCAAGGCCAGTCCCAGGCAAATAGTTTGAGAGACCCATCTCCAAAATAACCAGAGCAAAATGGACTGGAGGTGTGGCTCAAGTGGTAGAGCGTCTGCTTTGCAAATGTGACGCCCTGAGTTCAAACCCCAGTTCCACCAAAAAGAAAAAGTAAATAAGTTAAGGCTGCTAACAGATAGGTAAAGAAAGTCCCCCACCCCCGCCCCCGCCCCAGGATGTCTTGTTGTAGTGACAGGGGGATGACTTTAGCTGGGGCAAGCTTTTCAGGGAAGTGAAAACTGGGCTGAGATCATCAGGCTTGAGCCTGCCACCCATTCCTTCCTTCTTTTTTCTCTCCTTTTATTTTCCTTTTCCTTCCTTCCTTTCTTCCTTCTTCCTTGCCTCCCTCCCTCCCTCCCTTCCTTCCTTTGTGCTGTGGATGAACCCAGGGCCTCCCACCTGCTAGGCACACAGTTACACCTCTGCCCTAGGCTTGGCTTGGTCTCATAACAGCTTGCTTTTTTTTTTTTCCAGTGCTGGGATTTGAACTCAGGGCTAACACCTTGAGCCACTCCACCTGCTCTTTTTTGTGATGGGTTTTTTCAAGATAGGTGTCACTCAATCTATTTGCCTGGGCTGGCTTTGACCTGTGATCCTCCTGATCTCTGCCTCCTGAGTAGCTGGGATTACAGGCATGAGCCACGGGAGCCCGGTTCCTAGCAGCTTTAAGAAGTCATTGTGGGCTGAACTGTGTCCCCCTGCAATCCATATGGTGAGAACCTCCCAATGTGACCTTAAGTAGAATCTTGGGGTTGGGAGTCTGTCTCAGTGGTAGGGACCTCCTAGTGTGCCCAGCGCCCTGGGTTTCATTCTCAGTACCATGGAAATAAAAGATGGAAAGAAGAAAGAGAGAGAGAAGGAAGGAAAGAAGGAAGGAAGGAGAGGGAGGAAGGGAGGGAGGGAGAGAGAGGAGAGAGAGAGAGAGAGAGAAAGAAAGAAAAGAAAAATCAGGCTCTCTCCTGAGCTGACGTGAAAGGCAGCCATTCGTGTGGTCCTCCCACACACTGGTGTCCTCACAAGAAGGGCACAGAGGGGAGAAGATGGGGAGACGTGGAGAGGCATCGTCTACAAGCCGAGGGGAGAGGCCTCGGAAGGGCTGAGAGTTAATAAAAGTCTGGTTTGACCGCCAGTCTGTGGTTCTTCATTTCAGCAGCTACTGCAGAAGGCGAAGGGTGGCCAGGAATTCAGGCCCTGGTGACTTGGTGGCTCAGCCCCCGCCCCGCCCGCACCCACCAGGGGCAGGATGGCCAAGAGGTCCAGGCCCACAGCCATCGGGGCCTCCTTGCCGGCTTTGCCTGTGACCCTTGGACCCAGCAGCCATAAAACAATCACCAGGGTGAGATGCTGGCTAGACATGGAGGGCTGGGGACAGGCCAGGGTGGTGTGGACCACGCCGTGAAGTGAGGGCAGCCTATTTTACAGAAGTTGGGGGACTCACTGCCTATGGCTGCCAAGGAAGAGCCCAAGTACCTTACACCTGGCCCATCCAGCCCATGTAGAAACTTCTAGACCCATCCAACCTTCTCTCCATGGGACCAAGCCCTTAGTCACCCACCTGCCTCTATCGCCCAGAGCTCATTCTAGTCTGGTCCCACAGGCCTCCTTGCTGTTCCTCCAACCTCAGGGCCTTTGCACTGGCTGTTTCCTGTGCTCTACCCCTATTCCCACATACCTGCCTAAGCCACTCCTTCACCTCCCCAGGCCTTTGCAGGGAGGCTTTCTTGCTCACTTCTGGTTCCCCCACCTTCCCATCACCTTCTCCTGCTGGTTTTCCTACTTTTTGTCTCTCCATTGTATCTACTCGCTCAGCTGGAATGATGTCATCCTCAACATGGTCCACCCAGTTGGAGGATGTGTAAATTAAGTTCTCTGTTGTGTCCCCAACACCTGGCATACAGCAGGTGCTTAATGATAGACACAGGGGTGAATGAATGCATGCATGGATGAATTCTCAGGCTAACGTCCTCCCCTGTGCAGGAAGGGCAGAACAAGTCAACCACACTCCTCCCTCCAGGCATTTGGGGACCCTGGTCCAAATGTCTCATCTTCCCACCCCCAGAGCACACTTCCTGGAAGACCCATGATGAAAGAGAATAGGGCTGAGGTTCTAATTAGCCCAATTGCCCAAGAGATCAGAGTCCCCTGTGGCCTCCCAGCCCAGGCCTGCCTCTGCCACGCCCAGGTCACATGTCACTAGTGTTACTCACCCAGCCTGGCCCAGAGGGAGTGGGAGGGGGAAGACCAGAAGGAAGGACGATTAGAAGTAGGAGAAGAGGAAGAGAAGGAGGCAGAGGAGGAGGAGAAGGAATTAGAATAAGATGAAGAAGGGGAGGAAGAGAGGACAGGAAGGCCACTGTTCCTGGACTTTCTCGCTCAGCTCCTTCCCCTAAAAGGAAGTGTGGGGAGACTTTTGGAGTGATGAACAGGTGACACAGTGACTAGGGCAAGTCCTAACTGGAGTTGGGGACCTGGGTGTGGCCTCAGCTTGCAGCTGATACAGGCAAGGACCATGGTGAGTCATATATACTTATTAGCCCCTCTAATAAGTGCACAGTGAGGACTGTCCTTATATGACCAGAGTCATGACTGGACCAAAGGGCCCCAGCAGCCGGAAAGCGACAGGCGGGTCCAGCGAGGATCACGGGACTGTGGTGAGATGTCTGTCTCACAGATATGCAAGCTAGTCATCAAAGCCACAACCACAAAGATGGCCAGCACTTCTTTTTTTTTCAGTACTGGGGCTTGAATTCAGACTTCTACTGCCTGAGCCATACCTCCAGTCCATTTTGTTCTAGTTATTTTGGAGATGGGGGTGGCTGGCCTCGAACCTCAATTCTCCCAGTCTCAGCCTCAGAAGTAGCTAGGATTCCAGGCGTGAGCCATGGGTGCCTGGCAGGGATAATTTGTCTGTGTGTCTGTGTGTCTGTGTGGTACCAGGGATGGAACCCAGGGCCTTATTCGTACCAGGCAAATGCCCCGTACTGATCCACACGCCTGGCCCAGGGGCCACTCAGGCCCCTCCCCATTCATGGATTATTGGTTAGGATTCTTCTCTTCCCATCGGTTAGCATAAGTTTTAAAAACACCTGAAAAAGAGAAAGACTTGTTCTCTCTTTCTGCTTCCAGCTTCCACCTGGTCTCACCATGCTCCCTTTGTATTTCCCTTCCCTAATTTTCAATAAACTCCATTTACACCCACCTGTTCTGCCATGGATTCTTCCACATGGGACACAAAGAATTCTGAAGTCTTCTGATGACAGACTGCATTGTTGCCACTAACAATTCAGGATCTTAACACACTAAAAATTTTAAATCCAGTATTGTTTTATGTTTATTGCACATCTTTTATTCGAGGGCTAAATTTCCATCAGTAATTCTAGATCAGTATTTAGAATTCATAAAATTTAGTTAAAATGTGGATTCATAAGGCTGCCCATTGATCTTGGTGCAGCTCAGTGGTGAGTGCTTGCCTCCCATTGCAAGGCTGAGGTTCATCCCCAGAACTGCACACACACACAAAATTGTCCAGCCAGGCACCGAGGGCTCACGCCTGTAATCCTAGCTATTCAGGAGGCAGAGATCAGGAGGATCTCAGTTCAAAGCCAGCCCGGGAAATAGTTTGCAAGAACCTATCTTGGGAAAAAAAAAAAAAAAACCTTTCACAAAAAAGGGCTAGTGGAGTGGCTCAAGGTGTAGGCCCTGAGTTGCAAGAAAAAAAAAAAAGTTGTGCATTAATAAAATGGAGAAACTTTTTAAACTTTAAGTTAACAAAAATGAAGTAAGGAAGGGTGTTCTAGGAAGAGGAGACAGCAAGTGCAAAGGTCCTGAGGTAGCACCACACTCAGTGTGTAGGTAAGGCGGTGTGGAGTGAGGGAGTGGGGTACTGTGGATGATGACGCTAGATGGTACATTTGTCTGGATTTTGCTACTGTAACAGATACCAGAGATAATCAGTTTACAAAGAAGAAAAGTGGCACTACAGGTGTGGCTCAAATGGTAGAGCACTGCTTTTCAAGCGTGAAACCCTGTGTTCAAGTCCCAATCCCACAAAGAAAGAAAAGAAAAACAAAGACAGGGTTATTTTGGTTTACAGTTTTGGAGGTTTCAGTGCCTGCCTAGTTGGTCTTGTTGTTTGAACCTGTGGCACAAACAAGAATCTCACTCAGTGCCATATCCCCCAATGACCTAACTCCCTCCCTGCCACCCAAGCCTCTTAAAGGCCCATCACCTCCAAATAGCACCAAGCTGGAGACCAAGTCTGTAACACACGGGCCTTTGAGAATATTCTCGATTCAAACCATAGCACACGGTGAGGGAGGTGGCACAGCTCACTTACAGCCTTTTGAGGCGTAAATGAGAAAACACTGGGGAGAGGGAAGGGCGGAAGTTGGGAGGACAAGTGACTGGGATTATAGATGTGATGAGTTCTTTCCAAGTCTTCTAGGCACTTTGTAACATATCAAAAATTGTCATAAGCTATAGTCACCCCACTGTGCTGTAAGAAAGCTAGAATTTATCCCTCCCACCTGACCACATTTTTGGTACCAATACCCAGACTTCTCTCCATCCCTTCTCTTTATTTGGCTGCACTGGGGTTTGAACTCAGCGCCTCATGCTTGCTATGCAGGTGCTCTGTTGCTTGAGCCATGCCCTCGGCCCTTTTTTGTGATGGGTTTTTGAGAGAGGGTCTCACGATCTATTTGCCTGGCCTGGCTTCGAACTGTGATGCTCCTGATCTCTGCCTCCTGGGTAGCTGAGATTACAGGCGTGAGCCACCGGTGCCCGGCCCTTCAGCAGGTTTTGATGAGATGAGGGGGAAGTGGTGGCTGCTAAGAGCACCAGAGTTGCTCAGAGCCATAAACGGGATGACGCTAGGCTGACAGGAGTCCAGAGGTCATGCATAAGAAGCCGTGTCCACCGGCGGGCGGCCCAGACAGGAGCCCTCCCACAAAGGCTGAGTAAATATTAGCACGGATCACTCCAGCCTGGCCAAACCACATGAGCCCCCAAAAAGCAAACGCAGAGTGGAAATTTGGAACCTGGAGACCAAGGGGGAGGTCGCTACACCCCCGTCCAAAGGGGCTCGTACTGTGGACAGGATCCCCTTTGCATGGTGGATAACGGACAGGGTCGTTCTCTGCGGGGCATCCTGGGCCCTGCAGGGTGCTAAGCAGTGTCCCTGGCCTCCACCCACTCCATGCCAGGAGCTCCCCAGTTGTGACAGACACAGATGTCCCCAGACCTCACCAAATGTCCCGTTGGGGGCAACTGTTCTGATGCAAGTTATTTTCACATAAATGAACTACAGAGGCTGTGGTAAGGGCTGGAGACTTGGCACAAGGCCCTGAGTTCAAATCCCATACTGCCAAATAAAAGAAAAGAGAACAGAGGGGTGGTACATGGTAAGGTCACACTACCTTTTGTTCATGAATAATGAGGGTCCATTGAGAAATATAAACCAGGATGTGAATTTCTTGTGAGCAAGAAAGGTGTTTTAGTTGCTGTCAGCCTGGCACCTTGCACAGGGCCCAGCACAATGCCAGGCTCTGTTTAGTCTTCATTCATGTAATCTCTAGCAGTTTCCTGCCACATTTGGTCTAAAACAAACTCCTTGCCACAGTTCACAGGGTCCTGCACAACCTGCCCGGTGCCCTCCCTGCCTCCCCCTTGCTCCCTGTGTTCTAGCCACATGGGCCTCCTTAATGATCCCCCAACATACCAGGCTTGACCCTGCCTCAGGGCCTTTGCACATGCCGTGTCTTTAGTCTGACCCATTTTTCCTGTTGCTCTCTCCACAACTGGCTCAGTCTCATCCCTTGGACTCTACTTACATGTTGTCTTTTCTTATCTTTTTTTTTTTTTTTTTGGCGGCACTGGGGTTTGAAGTCAGGGCTTTACACTTGCTAGGCAGGTGCTCTACCACTTGAGCCAAGCCTCCTCAAAGGGGGATTTTCCAGTTCTTCATGGTTCTGTGCCAAAGCAGAACTCATATCAATGGATATGAGTTGGTTGAGCACCTGCTGTATGCCCGGCTCTGAGAACTCAGCAATGAACAAGAGAAACTCTCCCAGCCCCTAGGCACGCACATCCTGGGCAGGAGGATGACAATCAGTTAAACAAACAAATAAGTAAATTTCAAGCATTGACAGTCCAAGAAGCATGCGAATAAGATAAGGATCCCAGCACCAGTGGCCACACCTGTAATCCTAGCTACTCAGGAGGCAGAGATCAGGAGGATCACAGTTCAAAACCAGCCTGGGCAAGTAGTTCAAGAGACCCTATCTTGAAAAAACCCATCAGAATAAAGGGCTGGTGGAGTGGCTCAAGTGATAGAGCACCTGCCTAGCAAGAGTGAGGCCCTAAGTTCAAATCCCAGTACTGAGGGGGTGAGTTCAACTATTTATATTGCAACAATTTTTGTAAATTTCACAATGGACCCCCAAGCACAATGTTAATAATAATAATAAAAACCCAGTACCACCAAAATAAATAAATAAATAAGGAGGTATGAGACGGGCTCCTCCCTGTTGGGAGCAGTGCAGCCATCTGAGTTGACCGATGAAGGAACCTTCAGGAAGATGCCAACGTGGTGGCACAGAGTAGGAGGGAGGGGAGTTCCAGCCGCTGGGGGCAGCATGTGCAAAGGCCCTGAGGCAGGAAAAGCTGGGCTTGATGAATATTTGTTAGTTAAATGGATGCTACATGATTCTAGAAGGAATTGATTGCCTGGATTTGACCATGGGGACCCGAAGCAGGGCAGGCGCGAGCTGATCCCACAAGGCGCACAGGAGGTTGCACGATCCCAGGAGGGAAGGGAGCCCCTGGCAAAACGTCCAACTTCCTCTATGTTTTGCTCGGTCCTGGGAGCAGCCTAGACCCATCCAGGGATCCGAGGGGCGGTGACTCCGAAGAGAAACAGTCCCTGTAAGTAGGGGAAAAGTCACGGCGCGGCTGAGCCTCGCTGGACTTCGGCCTTTGCCCACTGCCGGCTGGGAAAGCACAAAACAGGGAGATAACGGTCCTCCCTCCCCCGCCCCAGCCTGCCCCCATGTCATTGGCTCTTAGCGCTGTCCATCTGCTCTGTGCACCAATCAGCATCCACGGCTGGGCTGGCCTCTCCCGGGCCCTATTTCAGCATCCTTTGGGGGAGGCGACCAGACACAGAGAGGAGCAGCAGGACTGGGGAGCAGCGCTTTAGCCGGGTGGGGACCTGCAGCTCCGCGCGGGGACAAGGCAAGGGCTGGCCGGGTCCATGGAAGGGTATTTGACAATGGGGTTTGGGGTCAGGAAACGCATCCCGTGTTGTCAGGCCTGTCAGGAAGCCTCAGTCCCATTGCACAGAAGGGAAGACTGAGGCGAGAGAGGCCTCTTTGTCCTCGTCTCTCCCCCACGTCCCTCTGTCTATCCGGAGGAGGAGTTGGGCCAGCCAGTCTGCAGTACAGGATAGTCCCGGGGTGTCCCCTCCTAGGGCCCTTAAAGGATATTGACTGTCCTGCCCTGCTTCTTTGGGTCCGTCCCACTGTCCAGATTCAGATTCAGGGATGGAGCCTCAGCCTAGGCTGAGCGGGGATTGCAGGACCATGTGCAAATGAGAAGGGGTGGTGACACTCACACCTGTCCTTCTTCACCCCAGATGGCGTCCCCTGCCTGCGCCGTGGGCCCCGTGGATAGCCTGGAGCTCCTCGACCTGCTATTCGACCGGCAGGATGGCATCCTGAGACACGTGGAGTTGGGTGAGGCCTGGGGCCACGCCGCCAAGGACCAGGTGAGGGGTCCTCTGCAGATACCAAGGGTCACAGCACTTCTGCTGGGCAGACTGAACATCTGGGAGGGTCCTTGACTTGCGACCTGCAAACCCAGCTGGACTCTGCTCAGCTCTGTTCGACCCTCACAGGTCACAGTGCTCCATTTGAGCAAAACTCATTACTTTACAACAAGCACCCACTCCTTCTTACAGGTGGGGGAAAATGAAATCTCAGAGAGGCTGGACACTCACCCAAGGCCACACACTAATTTGAAACAGGCCGAATGGCTCAGGGCTCGCTGGCGGGTGTTCCCACACTAGCCACTGTATTGCCTTGAAGCCTCAGCCACTTTGGAAGGAAGGGGCATTTGCTTCCTCTTAGAGCAAGGACGGACACCCAAGAGCCCAGAGAGGGTCAGTGGTTTGCCCAGAGTCACACAGCAGTCTTGAGCTGAGCATGGAACCCCTAACTCCCTTCCCTCTCTCTACCTTCCAGCAGGTGCTGCCATGCTCAGACTCTGAAGAATTCTTGAACTCCATCCTGGGCCCGGGAGACTCGGTCCCCAGCTCACCAATCTGGTCCCCTGCGGCCAGTGACAGTGGCATCTCTGAGGATCTGCCCTCTGACACCCAGGACACCCCTACACAAAACAGAGCAGCTGTCACCCCAGCCGGGTGCCATCCTACAGAGCCCGGCAAGGGGCCCTGTCCCTCCTATGTTCCCAGCCCGCCATGCTCAAGCAGGCCCCTGGAGGCCTCTGTCGCCATAGACCTGGGTGAGTATGTGGAGATGGAACTGTGGGGGCCCGTTTTGTGGGTGGTGTAACTGAGTCCCAGTGAGGTGAAGCCACAAGCCAAAGCACAGTGCTGAGATGGAATCCCAGCGTGGCAACAGAGTATGTCCTTGTCGTCTTTTGAACCTGTGTGCCTGGCTCAGAAAGATGTTCAATAAAGTGTGTGAGATCAGAGCCCCTGGCCTCAGAGTGCAGCTCCCAGATAGAGAGAGGCTAATCCTTATCACATGACATCCCCAGCAGATCAGTAATGATTTACTCTGGGGACACTGGTTGACACCCCTGGCTGGACAGACAGAGCCCTGGTTGGAAATACATGGCTACCAGGGCATCTGTTGTCTCTGGAGTCTCACAGTGAGCAACTGTGGATTCTATTGGTGGCTCAGAGAAGTTAGGTCACTTACCCAAGGTCACACAGCTCCACCCAGTTGAGATTAGACAGCTACCTCTCCTGAGATTTGTGTTCTCAAGTCTACTGTGTGCTGGGTGCCAAGGAGAGATGGAGCCAGAGATGACTCAGACCTCGTCTTTGCCCCATGGGGAGATAAGAGCTGGTCAGCTGGGGACCTAGTCTCTCATCTAGGGTGGTAACTGCCTCTGTGTCCTGGATTGGCAGTGGGTCCCCTTCTTTAGCCCCATGGAACAGACAGATGTGCCCGGATGAATATGGAGAGTAGCCAAGCCTTGGGGACCCCTCACACATTGGGGTTGATCATGGAGATCAGCTGGGGTTGCAGGTAGAATCGGGGAGCTGACGCCATCTCAATCCCCTCCTGTCCCTCAGACATGTGGAGTGCAGGTGGCCTCTATGCTGAGGAGCAGGCCAGCTTGCCCTCCCGCTTCAACCTCACCGTGAAGGAGCTCCTGCTGTCCGGCAGCGCCGGGGACCCGGTGAGCATCCCCTGTGCTGCAGGGCCTCTGAGCTGGGAGAGGGCCCGAACCCCTCCCAGAGAGGGGCAGGGATCTGCCCAGGCTCCCGACAGAGCAAGCCAGCGACCTGGGCTCATTCAGTCCCTCCTGGGCTGGCATGCTTCCCACTGTAGTAGTAAGAGAAAAGAAATATGTCCTGCATGCCAGCACTGTTCACATGCTTTCTTAGAGCACTGGGGTTCGAACCCAGAGCTTCCCATTTGCAAAGCAGGTGCTTTATCATTTGAGCCACTCCTCCAGTCCATTTTGCTCTGGTTATTTTGGAGATGGGGTCTCATAAACTCTTTGCCTGGGCTGGCCTCGAACCCCAATCCTCCCCATTTCAGTGTTCTAAGTAGCTGGGATTACAGGCGTGAGCCACTGGCGCTTGGCTCCTATTGCTTTTTTAGTTTATTTTTCCAGATGGAGTCTGACCAGGGCTGGCCTCGGACTGTGATCCTCCTTCTTCTGCCTCCTGAAAAGCTGAGATTACAGGCATGAGCCCCAGGCTTTTGTTATCTTTATTTTACATACAAGGAAATGGGCAGAGAGGTTCTGTAATTTGCCCCAACCCACATTGCTGCTGCAGACTGGATCCTTGAGTTAGCCTTTCATGCTTGTTGTGTTTATTGCACACTGATCAAGGCCCATCTTCCCTGCCAAGGGCTTCACAAATCTGTAATAGAGACCCCTCAGCCCTGTTTCACAGATAAGAAATTAAGATTAACCTCTCAGAGAGGTTAAACTACCAACAACCTAAAGTCACACAGCAAGCAAGTGACAGAATCAGGGTTTGAATTTCCATTTGTGTCATGCCAAAGAGTGTTCTGACAATCTCTAGGGAGAATTCCTAAAGACTTGGGACACACAGTGAGTGCTGGCCACATGTGCACTTGGCCTCCAGAATCTCTTAGTTGGGGTGGGGAGGCTCACTGCTCCCAGAGGTGTGCCAGGAGGAAGAAAAGCCCAGAGGGTCATGGCCAGTTCTAGAGGGCTTCCTGGAGGTTGTGGCACTCCAGCAGGCCTTGAAAAGGTGGGCCAAGAAAATGCTTGCTTGGGAATGCTAGAGAGACATTCAACAAACAAAATATTGGAAATGTATCTTTTAGCCAGGTATGTTTGCACATACTTATAATCCCAGCACCAGGGAGGCTGAGGCAGGAGGTTGGAGGGTGTGCAGACCTTTTCTTTGTTTTGCTGATGACGCCGACACCTGGCTGGCGGGGCTGAAGGGCAGCCTTGGGTCTCAGCCTGTGGAGTTTGAACTGAGGATGGCAGTGCGGCCGCCCAGGACGGCTGATTCATGGCGAGATGCGGCAGGAAGAGGAAGAGGGGGACAGACAGACAGTGACCTGGCCCAGTATCCCAGACAGAATGACAAAGTCCACTGCTACCAGAAGGGACTTTTCTTTTTCTTTTTTTTTTTTTGTGGTACTGGGGTTTGAACTCAGGGCCTTCACCTTGAGTCATTCCACCAGCCCTTTTTTTGTGAAGTGTTTTTTCAAGATAGGGTCTCACGAACTATTTGCATGGGCTGGCTTTGAACCTCGATCCTTCTGATCTCTGCCTCCTGAGTAGCTGGGATTACAGGCGTGAGCCACCGGTGCCTGGCTTAGCTTAATTTTTTTGAGGCAGCCCAGGCAGTGCTCCCTCTCACAATTGTCCTGCCTTTGCCTCCCAAGTGCTGGGATCACAGGCATGTGCCACCATGCCTGGCCCCTATATGTTTTGAATGTGACACTTTATCACAATCATTGCTCCATACTGTTATATGGAAGGTGGCATCTTTTTTCCCTGCTGTGTCGTACTCCAGCCATTGTCCAGATAAACCATCCTTACTTAACCTGCCTCTGTTTGTTGGGTGATTCTCTCACTTCTCATTATCTGCTAATACAGACTCACCACAATGAATGTCCAGAGGCAGAAACAGTGCCTGGCACAGAGAAGGTGCTTAGGAAACAGTTGTTGAATGACTATCTGTGAGAGACATGAAAGACTTTGTGCACGATTCATTTTGTACCTATGAGGAAATCTTTATGTACAATTCCTGGAAACAGGATGGCAGGGTCACAGGACTCTGACTTGGTTATTTTGAGCCTTGTTGCTAGCGAGATTCTATAGCGGATAGATTAATCATTTCTCAGATTCTATGCCTGTTTGATTCCCTGGAGGCTGTGCATCTCTGAGCCTTCAATGTGATGCCCTGGTTTCCATAGCAACAGCATCACCTGACGGCCCCCCACTTGTTGCGGCCCGGGAACGGGCACTATCAGGAGCTGGTGCTGACAGAGGATGAGAAGAAACTGCTGGCCAAGGAAGGTGTCACCCTGCCCACGCAGCTGCCACTCACCAAGGTGCGTCAGGAGTGCGGGGCGGGGGAGGGGGAGCAAGGCTGGACTCGGGCTCTCTCCTTTTCTCACACTACCTGCCTGCATCCTAAGCCATCTTCCCAGTCCCCCAAATACTTATTTTATTTTATTTTTTTGTGGTACTGGGGTTTGAACTCAGGACCTTATGTAGGCATTTTCCCACTTGGGTCACTCCACCAGCCTTTTTCACTTTAGTTATTTTTTGGGTAGAGTCTCAAGATTTTGCCCCAGGGCCAGCTTTAGACCTTGAATCACCTGCCTGAGGCTCCCAATAACTCAGATTACAGGAGTGAGCCACCATGCCTTGCTTTTGGTTGAGGAGGAGCCTTGATAACTTTTTGCTAAGCTAGCCTCCAATTGCAATGCTCCCAGTCTCTCTCTCTCCCATGTATCTGGGATTACAGGCATGAGCCATGGATCCCAGTCATTGGTTGCTAACACTTTTCTAACCCCGAGATTTCACATAAGAATTCAGTAGCTGTGGCCACAGATTCCCACTGATGACAACAGGCGCTAAGTAGCTGCTGAGGCTCTGTGGTGGAAACACCTGGCTTCTGGCTTGTGTCACCCAGTGTCAGTACTGGAGTTTGTCATTCTTTTCATTCTTTTTTTTCTGTGTGTGTGTGTGGGGGGGTGGTGCTGGCATTTGAACTGAGAGCTTTCACCTTGAGCCACTCCACCAGCCCTTTTTGTGATGTTTTTTCCCAAGAGAGCGTCTCATGCATTGTTTGCCTGGGCTGGCCTCGAACCGTGATCCTCCGGAGTAGCTAGGATTACAGCCACGGGCGCCTTATTTGCATACGTCAATTCTAGCTCTCAGCAGCCGGACGCCAGGGAAAGGTGCAGTTCCCAGGCATGGCCACTAGGGAGCGCCGCAGCACCAAGGCCTCAAAGTCTGGGGGAAGCTGTTACCTTTATAGGATCGGGGCCCCCAGGGTGCGTGTAGCCTGGAAAAAGCGTCAGGACGCAGGAGTATTCTAGAGACCCTGCAAGAATGTAGCAAGTGGACAGCTGAATTTTGACCCATTAGGAGCTTACCCCCAGGTTCCTGGAGCAGGGATGGTTCACATGGGACCAGAAGAAGTTGCAGGGCGGATGTCAGAGGGGACCATGTGCTGACTCACTCTGTCCCCGTGTCACCCTGCAGTATGAGGAGCGGGTGCTGAAAAAAGTCCGTCGGAAAATCCGGAACAAGCAGTCAGCCCAAGAAAGCAGGAAGAAGAAGAAAGAGTATATTGATGGCTTGGAAACTCGGTAATGTGGGGAGTGGGTGCCATGCTCACAGGGAAACGGAGGTCCAGAGTGGGACGCAAGGCGGCCAGTGTCATGTTTTTTAGGGCCTCTCTAAAGATCGTTTTCCCCACTTATTGCAGGGTTGCACAGATGGCTAGAAATGGCACCAGGGCTAGGGTTTCGGGGTCCCTTTGGCCCCTAGAAGGTGTGGCAGGAAGGAAGGATGAGACATGGCACACCCTGCTTCACTCTGCAGTTGAAGATGGGGTACTTGTTTGCCCCATCTGCTCTGAGGTGGTCTGCTCTGAGGTGGCCCTGAGAGCTGTCATGGCTTCCCTGGGTGGAAAGAGGAGCACAGGGAGCCATGCCTGCAGTCGATTTTGCTCTGGTTATTTTTGGAGATTGGGTCTCCAGAACTATTTGCCAGGGCTGGCCTCCAACCTAGATCCTCCTCATCTCTGCCTCCCCATTAGCTGGGATTACAGGTGTGAGCCTCCACACCCAGCTAGCTGCATGTGTTAACGTGTGCTCTTGCTGTCATTATGTGCTCCTTAGATCTTTCCTTGTCTTTATCCCAGGAGTTGTTGAGAGGAGGGCTTTTGAGTGGGGGAAGTTATTCTGATTTGCACACTTGAGTGATCTGACCCACAACCTCATTTACAGAGGATGCTGGGGGTAAAGGTGGGGTCCCCAAGAGAACAGTCACTACTTTCTGTCTCTCTCTCTCTCTCTCTCGCTCTCTCTCTCTCTCCCCTCTCTCTCTTCCCTAAACCTCTAGTCCACTTATCTCATGTCATTCTCCCATCCATCCTATAAGCTGAACTCTGTACCTGTCTTACAGGCAAGGGCAGTGAGATTGAGGCTGGGATGTCTCAGGTCACAGGGAAGGGGAAGACTGAGACTGGGGTCTCTGGCTTCAGGAGTCTTCTGGAAACATCACTGTGTAATTTTGGCACCCTAATCCTTGAATCAAGTCCCTTCCCCTCCCAGACCAATGAAGAGACAGGAACTGGAAACCAACAGACTTGTGTTCAAATCATGACACTAAGCACTGCATGGTGGTGTGCACTTGTGGTCCCAGCTACTTAGGAAGATGTCGTTCAGGGACGGCCTGGGTGACATAGAGAGACCCTACTCAAAACAAAAAAATCCTGCCATTACAGATTTGCCTGGTGGCCTCTTTCTTGGATCTGGGGTTCCCTGCCTATAAAGTGGGGTCTCCCAGGGAGGTGTCAGTGATGGCATATTCTGAATGTCCCTGGTCATCCCTGTAGGATGTCAGCCTGCACAGCTCAGAACCAGGAGCTGCAGAGGAAAGTCTTACATCTGGAGAAACAAAACCTGTAAGTCTGTGTTCAGCTAGGGGGAGGATGGGGAGAGGCCCTAGAGTGTCTTGTGGGAGAAGGAGGTGAAGGGCAGAGAGCCTACCACGTGGTGACAGTAAAGAGCAGGGAATAAGGTCTACCCTACAAAGGAGGTAATACACAGATTAGGGGATTTGAATTTGGAGCTTGATGGATATGTAAGGGTTCACTAGGAAGAGGTGCTCCCAATGGAGGATATGGCTAGAGGCTGGGAGTATGCACCTGACTGTCCCAGGGACACAGCCATTTAGTTCATATTATTTTATCATCTACTCTGGAGCGGGCTCTGAGCACTGGGTCCAGAACAGGGAACAAAATAGACAGTCTCTACATTGAAAGAACTCACGCCTGGTGGGAGAGGCGTGAACAGAAGGAACAGAAGGTGGCAGAGGAACAGAAGCATCCACAGATCATCCCAGCAAGGAGAGCCCCTGGGAAGAAAAAGCAGGATGTATGGCCAGAGGATTTATGTTAGGGAGGTCAGAAAGGGAGTCTCTGAGGATGTCACATTTGAGTCAAGGCCTGAAGAACCCAGCTATAAAAATACCTGGTGGAAACAGTGCCCTTGGCACAGATGGCACAGCCTGTGCAAAGGCCCTGGGGCAGGACAAGCCTGGGTGTTGGAGGAGCAGTGAGGAGGCCGTGTGGCTGGAGCAGAGGGAGCGAGGGGGAAAGAGAGAGGCAGGGAGGGGACAGGCAGGTCGTACAGGGCCCTGTGGGCTGCAGGGAGGACTTGGGCTTTGACCTTGAGGGTGGTGGGAAACTGTGAGGACTGGGAGAGGCACATTCACACTTGCCAAGCATCTTCTGGCCACTGTGCAGAGCAGGAACCCAGAGCTGGGCAGGAGTTGCAGGGTGGGGGATTCTGGGGAAGAAGCTGGGGCTGGCATCCAAATGAGTGATAATGAATGATAACAAGTGATAATGAGGACCCAGGTGATAAAGCAGTGGGGTCTGGAGCAATGGGTGGGATTCAGATTTCACTGAGGCTGAGGACCCCAGAAATGGACAGGAAGCAAGGTCAAGAGCCCAGTGGAGACCTCTGGTTCCTCCAAGGTCCCTCTTGGAGCAGCTGAAGAAACTCCAGGCCATCGTGGTCCAGTCCACCAGCAAGTCTGCGCAGACGGGCACCTGCATAGCAGTGAGTCCTGGCCCCCAGTCCCCTGGTCACCCAGTGAGGTGGCGTCCTTGGTCTTTCCAGAGGGGGCTGCTGGGAGGTGAGGGCCACTAGAAACAGAGACTCGTAGCCCAGCTCAAACACGATACTCCACTCTTTGGGGGTCTCAATTTCCCTGCTTATAAAACACGCATGCTCACTGGGGAGGGGGAAGAATGGGGTGACCCCCCCCTCCATCTCTGGCAGGTCCTGCTGCTTTCCTTCGCCCTCATCGTCCTCCCCTCTGTCAGCCCTTTCGCCTCCAACAAAGCTGAAACCCTGGGGACTTTGCGCCCATGAGAGGTAGGTGTCTCTTGTCCTCAAAACTTGTGACTGCACCGTGTCGTTAGTTCTCCCTGTATCCTGGGAGAAGGGAGACCCCCATGCCATAGTTCCCTGAGGCTGGGGGGTCTAGGAAATGAAGGACAGGACTCCAGACCCCACTGTACTCCACCTGACCCCCTCCCAAATTCTGGTCAGTCTTCTCCAGAACTCTGCACAACGATGCTGCGTCCCGTGTGGCCCCTGACACTGCACCAGGCTCCGACTCCCCAGGACCCTGGCCTGATGCTGGCACATCTCATAAAGGGTCTCCAGGCAGCCTGGGGACAGACTGGGGGGGCTTCCTGGACATACCGGAGCTGGGCAACTCCACAGAGAAGCTGGACAATGCGACCCTGGTCCTAGGCAATTCAACAGAGGATCTGAGCCAGGCCACCCTGCTGGACTGGGTGGCCCCTGAGCCTATGCTCAGCCCAGGACGGTCGGGGTTGGAGGCAGTGGGGGAGGAGCTTTGAGCATCTGAGCCTCCTGCCTTGGGGACGCTTTGGGGGTGCTGCAGTGGACAGCTGAAGGCCCAGCTGAAGGCTGAGGTGAGGCAGAGGCCTGCTGCTCAGACTCATAGCTACACCCCTCCACGGGACTGACCGGGGTCCCTGCAGAAACTGTCCCTCAGTACCAGGCAAAGTTGGGGCCACAAAGCCTGAGACATTGACATCCAGGCTCAGGGCAAGCGGCTGGACACGTGCAGCCCGATACAGCCACAGACAGACAGACAGAAAGGCTTCCACAGCCCTGTGCCCCGGACTCCCCCTGCCTCCCACGCTCACTGGGCAGAGGACATGGTCAAGCCTGCAGGGACCCGGGCTCCCCAAGCACCAGGGAAACTTCTAGACTTCGGGGTGACTGCCGGTCACAACCACCCTCTTTTCTAAGACGTCTGTGACTTTTAATAAAGTGTTTTGACAGAACACGGCTGCGTGGATGTGGAGTGGGGTGGGAACTGAAGTGGTCTCCAGAAGGGGCCAGGCCAGCCCCGGTGGGGTCTGAGGTGCGGGATGAAATGCCTGTCCCTGGGCTGGGGTGGCTTCAGCACCTTGGAGAGCAGTGGCGGTGGGCAGGGCGTGCCGGGTGGATCCAGAGACCCCAGGAGGCCTCACGAGGGTGTCCGTGCAGGGCTGGGGCACCTGCCTTCCTAGGGGGCTGGGCGCCCACTCTGCTCATTGTACAGATGGGGAAACTGAGACAGCATAAGTAAGGAGCCTGGGTCACAGTTGGGGACTGATGATGGGACTCAGCCTGTGGGATGTGCAGGTGCCGGGACCCTGAGACATGGTCACTGTCCTTAAGGGGCACACAGCCTGGGAACAAAAGGCAGATATTAAACAAACAAACCCTACAAATAAAGTATATAACTACAAAACAAACCCAGGCGTGTTGGCCATGCACTGGGGGACAGAAGCAGGAGGATCGTGAGTTCCAGGACAGCCTGTGCTACATAGCAAGACCTTGGCTCAAAAAACAACAAAAGTTGCCCAAAGTTGCATCAGGAAACTGGCCAGATCCCTCCAGGCCCCTCTGGGTGGTCAGCCTGCTCCAGCCCCATTGGGGTGGCACACGCTGGGGCCGTCAACACACTCAGATGCAGGAGAGTTCTGCTTTATTGCGTTGGAGATTTTGGGAAACCCCCAGGAAGCCACCCACCCCTCCTCTCTCTCCCTCCACCCTACTGTCTGCCCACTGTGAGGTTTGGCTCCCATCCTGGAGGGTCTGTAAAGGCGCCTTTAGGGAGACAGATCAAGAGCCAGGAGGGGCTGGGGTGTGAGTGAGGGGTCCTGGGAGGAAGCCAGGAAGAGTCCAGCTGCCCCTTCCCCAGACCATCCTGAGTCAGAGGCTGGGGCGTAACTGGGAGCCCCAAGGCAAGGCTCTCACTAAGAGCCACAAGAGCCAAGGGAGACACAGTGAGGATGGGTTGGACCCTGGGCTGGAGCCCAGGTCTCAGAGCCCTGAGGTCCCCATAAGAGAGATACATGTAACAAAGTGACACCATAAGAAAAAAAGAATCTGTGGTTTCTACAAAAAGCCCCACCCTCCCCGAGCACCCGTGTCAGCTGGGAGTCACCTCGGCCTTCACCCTTTTGGGGGGCCGGCGGGGTGCAGGACTGTCTGGCTGTTCCCTTTTGGGGCTGGCAGGCTGGGAGCCATTGTGCCAGGTGCAGGGCTCTGCTTGGAGTCAGCAGGCACAGAGCCATTGAGCTGGGCTAGGGATTTGTCTGTGGGCTCGAGCTTAGGGGTTGGGGGGCGTGGCAGGGGTGGCAGGGCCTTTTCCAGCACACGGGGACCATCCCAGGCTGGTATCTCCAGCCCCAGGTGCTTCATGAGTTGTGTCATGACGTCATCTACATAGCCATGGATGCGCAGATCAGCGTGTCGGTCCTGCAGGGATTGGGGAAGGGTTAGACGGGACAGGGAACCAGCTGGGGTTCCAGGCAAAAAATGGGCTTGGGACCTACGTGCTTGGTGGGCTGCAGGTTCACGATGACCAGCTTTCCTCCCCGGCGCTTGGTGGCCAGGGGCAGATTCCCACTGGGCCGGATTTGCAGGGAGGTGCCCAGGGTGATGGACAGGTCAGCATTCCTGGGGTCAGGAAAAGGGAGTAGGGCTCATTCCACCGACCTCCTACCAGTTCTCCTGCCAACACCCAGAGGCCGTCCCCAGAGTCCACCTGTCCACCTCTGTCCCTGCTCACCCGGCCCCAGGGCAGGTTCAGGGCTGTCTCAGGTCCTACTCCATGGACCTGGGTGGGCCCTGAATCCTAGTGGTAGAGCTGGACCAGAGTAGGATCTGGGCTCAGTCTCCACCTGGCTGGGTAGCACTGGACACAGAGCCACTTTGCTAAAACCTCATCTGTATCATGGGCCTGGGCAGTGCCTGCTAGGGCCACAAAGGAGGATGGTGTGTGGAAAGCCCCTGCCTGCCGCTTTCTCCATGAAGCCTTTTGTGATTCTGCCTCCAAACCCATTTCCCTGCCTTGTGCAGAGCCTGCGCAATTCTGCCTGGTTCCCCTGCCCATCCCTCACTGTGGGCAAATTGGGGCACAGACCTACTAGCCTCATCAGCAAGAGCCAGGTCCCTGTCCGGCAGTGCATCTTCCCAGTCTAGGATGGTGTCTCTCAGCTCCCCCCTGCAGAGGGAGGCGAGGAGTTAATGGACCCTCCGCCTCCCTAGGGTCCAGGGCATAGGCAGGAGCACTCACCTGCAGGCCCGTAGTCCCCTTGCCTTGGCTACGGTGCAGAGTCGGCCTGTGGTCTTGAGGCCCATGGTGCCCACAACTGTGTCCCGGACATACTGCCTGTGTTGGGAGGAAGGAGGAAGGGCGAGAGGTTGGCGAGCCCCTCGGGGTAGCTGTGTGCTGGGGCGATGGGAGTGGGAGTGGGAGTGGGGCCACACGAGCACGAGGAAACGTGGGATACGCCAGAATGAGGGGTCTTGAGGAGTAGCTGGCCTGGACGCTGTGTGACTTCCACAGCTGGCAAACAAAGCCAGTGGAGCCTTCATCTCCTGCAGGAAGGAGCCAAAGCCCTTGCCCCGGACTGGCTCCCAGACTGGAGAGAGCACTGGATCTGGGACTCTGGGCACTAGGTGACATTATGTCGCTTTTACTTTTCCAAGGCTGGGGTGCAGCTCAGTGGCGAGCACTTGCTGAGCATGAAAGAGGCTCTGGGTTCTGTCCCCAGCACCGGGAAAAAAAAAAATTGTGCTGAAGTTGTCGCAACGGATGTTGCAGCTCCACAGTTTAGGGCAAAAGGTCGTGAGGTCAGAAGCTTGCCTGCAATCCCAGCACCTGGGAAGCAGAGGCAGGAGGGTGCACTTTGGGAGACCATTCCAAAAGAAAAGAAGAGAAGAGAAGAGAAGACAAGAGGAAAGGAAGGGCAGAGGAGGAGAGGGGAGGGGAGGGAAGAAAAGAGCGAGGGAGGGACGGAGGGAGGAAGGGAAAAGCTGGTTGTTGCAAAATGTTAATGGTGGGTAAATGTAGGTCAAGGGTCAGCAAGCTACAACCACCGGGTCACATCAGGCCGCACCTTGTGTTTTATCAATAGTTTTATGTGCACACAGTCATGCCTGTTTGCTTAAGGTGGATTTTGCGACTAATGGCAGACATGAGGAGTCATGACACAGATGTCTCTCTCCTTCTGGTCCCCAGAGCTGAAAATACTGACTCTCTAGCCCTTCGCAGAAAAAACTGGTCAGCCCTGGTCTAGGGGAAGCACAAGCTGGCAGTATGATTCCTCTAGTTTTCTGTAGGTTGGCAACTTTTCAAAACAAATTTGGAGAAAAAGAAGAAAACAGGTGGGTCCTACCTGTAGTCTGGTCTCAGAGGCCTCACCTTGAAGCTGCAGCCCCTGGCAGGTGTTCACACCTGTGGCGCCACTCACAGAGAGGGGGAGACTCACTCAGAGCCCTCCACCTTGGGGAGTGAGGGGTCCCAACCTGTGTGGCTTGAATTGTGTCCCCCAGAGGGACATCTGAAGTTTTCACCCCCAGGAACTCAGAAGGTAACCTGATTTGGAAATTGGGTCACAGCTTTGTGATTAGATGAGGCTGTATGGCAACGGGAAGGGGTGTCTTATAAGAAAAGACAAGAGACACAGGCCACCATGTGATCATGGGGACAGATGGCACCATATGGCCACAAGCAAGGTATGCCAAGGACTGTGGCCACAGGCAGGAGCTGGGCCAGGCAGAAGGGGCTGCAGAAGAACCATGGGACTACATTTGTACTTTTGTGGCTTCATTTGTCACAGTGGCCCCAGAAAACAGGCCTGTCCCTTAGGAAGGCCTTGTGTGGGCATCCAATGACCTGTGGCTTTTTGGGAACATCAGATTAGAGTCAAGTGGTCCATCTGCAGAGTCTGCAAGGGAAGGGCCAAGACAGTGCATGGCTGGGTGCCCCATAGCTCAGGGCAGCCTGGGCAGCAGGTCAGGTCCGCAAAGACACTTACGTCTTACACTTTGCGCATTCTTCCACAAACATGTTCCCGTGCAGCTCTGCCAATTTATCCCTGGGGGAGGAGAAGTAAGAGGCTCAATGATGGAGTGGGCTCCCTGGACCCCCAGACTTCAGGCCTGGTGCTAGGCCCCACTCTTCTAGGAAGCCTTCTCTGGCCCATTGGCCACAAGATCCATCAACTTCCTCTTTCTGGCTTTTCCAGCTTCTGGCTCCCCTGCTGTGCATCCCTGGGTAGGTAGCCCAACCTTTCTAAGCCTGAGGAGGAATTATTAACCACACAACTGACCCCACCATTACAAATGACTAGCCACTGTCTTCACAAGATGCCTACCCTCTTCACAGGCACCTAGGGACCAACTGGTGTCACTAGGTTGGAAGGACAGAAACACAAACTTGCAGACTGTAATGAAAGAAACTAAGAAAAGGAATGGCCTCAAGAGCACTGGCTTTGGAGGTCAAGGAAAGGGCATGAGATCAAATCTGGGTGCTGTCACTCCAAGCTGTGTGACCTTGGTCTAGCCACAACCTGTCTGTGCCTGCATGGCCCCACTCCAAGGCCACCACTGAATGATGTGCCTATTCAATGGACAACCTTTCTGGTGCGGGATGAGACTCAGCTGTGTGGACCAAGGAAGCTCTGTGCTTGTTCCTAATCTCAACCAAAGCCCTGATCCCCAGGGTATGGAAATGTGTGTTTCCTTCCACTTCTCCAAACATCTACAAGGGCCAGTTGTAGTGGTGGACACCTGTAATCTCAGCTACTCAGGAAGCAGAGATTGGGACAATTGCAGTTTTCAAGGCCAGCCTGGGCAAAAGTTAATGAGACCCATCTCAACCAATAAGCCAGGTGTGATGGTATGCACCTGTAATCTCAGCTATGCAGGAGATGAAGGTAGGAGGATCAGGACTGAAGCTAGCCCCAGCCAAGATGTGAGACCCTACTTGAAAAAATGAAGGAAAAAGAACTGAGGTGTAGATTGCATGATAGAGTGCCTGCCTAACAAGAGTGAGGTCCTGAGTTCAAACTCCAGTACTGCCAAAAACAGAAAGAAAAAGAAAGAAAGAAAGTGGCCCTGGAGAAAGTGGATTTGCCTGCATGCTGAAGTGGAGGACTCAGACTTGGGTCATTTCAAGACAAGCCATCAGAGGCTGGGGTGTGGCTCTGTGGGGAGCGCTTGCCTAGCATGTGTGAGGCCCTGGGTTCAACGCCAGCATCTAAACAGGAAAGGCACAGAGGCTTAGGAGCTGCACCCCTAGGACCAGAGCAAGGGTGACTGGAACTGAAATGTGCCAAGGAGGCGAGAATAAGCGCGGTGGTACCTGGGGAAGCCGGAGCGCACGTGTAGCCCGTCCACGTTCTGGCTGACCACGAAGTGCAGGAGGCCTACACGCTCCAGCTGCACCAGCGCCATGTGCGTCTGTGTGGGGCGCGCGTTCTCAAAGGTGGTGTCAAACTTGGGGGCTAGGCCACGCTCTTCCATGGTCCAGACGCCGTGGGGACCTCTGAGGGGTGAAGGCAAGGAGAGATGTGGGGAGAAAGAGCGTTGGGGGAACAGGGAGAGGACAGAAAGAGAGTCAGACAAAGAGTGAGGGAGACAGAGATAAAGAGGAAGATAAAGAAAAGGGTAAAAATTAATTATTCAATTCCACCAGCACTTCCTGGCAGGGCCTTGTGCTGGGTGATGACGGGATCGAAGTGGACCCGTTCTCAAGGGCTTTGGATCTTGTGGGGGACCTGGGTCTCCAGCCCTGACAGGTCAGACCTGGAGTAAAGACAGAGACCTGGGCTGGGGGCCCAGCACAGGCAGTGAGGGCTTTTGGGGAGTGTTGGAAAGCTTCAAGAGGAGGCGGCACAGTCTCTGGAAGGGTGAGAGGAAAGCAGGGAAGTTCAGACAGAAGAGGTAAACCAAGGTCCTTGGGCAGGCACTAGCCTGTGATTTGGGGAAATGCCAGTAGTTTAGGGGTCACAATGGACCGTGGAGACATGACTCACGGCTGGGTCAGGAAGGGCTTTGGCCTCCAGCCTGCTATATGGCACACTACTGTGTGGCAATAGGGAGCCAAAGCAGGTTATGGGAACAGGCTTTATGCCTTAGAATTTTAACATTCCTCCAAGAAAGAGGAATCTGCCCTCCTACTGTGAGACCTGGGCTCCAAAAGAGAAATAAATATAATTTCCTGCTCTTCAAGAGAGGGCTGCAAACTCAGCTACCACCCAGAGGTCACCAGTCTGGATTTTCAGTAACAAGTCTCTAGTCTCACACAGGCTGAGGGACATAGAGGGATGTTTCAATGGTATGTGGTGTCACACCCTGATCCCAAAGGCAAAGCCACTTGCCTGACACCATATCCCATAGGACAATATTTGCAAATGAGTGTGGAACTAATCGTCCTGTCTATGGTAACAGAACCTCAATGTATAACGAGAACATTCACCTAAAGACTTCCTCTCCCAGCATCCCTTGCTGATAGGTATGATCAGGTGACCAGGCTCCAGCCAATGGAGTGGAATGGAATGTTGGTTGTGATTTCAAGATCCCTCCCTTCCCTAATACCCAGGACTTGGCCAGAAGGATGGGCTCCAATGCCTAGGCATCTGTAGCTCCCAGGGAAGTCCCCAGCAGCACATCAGACCCTGCCTCAGTTTCCCTGCCCCACTCACAGACCTGAAGTCAGGGATGCCAGAGGCGGTACTGATACCCGCGCCTGTGTGGAACACCACATTGGAGGACTGCCGGACCAGCCTTGCCAGCTCCCACACCTTCCGCTCCAGCTCCTCCGGGGGGTCAAAGATCTGTGGGATGGGAGTGCAGAAGGGACTGGTCAAAATGTGTCCCCCAAAGGGCAAGGGCAGAAGCCACAGGCTTGCCCAGGGGAGGGGAATGGATTGGAAAAGGCAGCTTGTCCTCATGGCAGTCCTCTGCCCTCCATGGTGCCCACATCCTTTGGGCTCAAAGCCCAGGTCCTCCCTGCAGCCCATAGGGCCCTCCACGACCTGCCCGTCCCCTCTCTGCCTCCCTCTGAACCCCTCACTCCCTCTGCTCCAGCCACACGGACTTCACAGCTCATCCAACATGCCAGGCTCCATTCTGCCCCAGGGCCTTTGCACAGGCTGTGCCCTCTAACTGGGATGCTTTTTAACAGACACCCATATGGCTCCTTCATTTCCTTTGGGTTTTGGCTTAAATGTCACCTCACTGATGCCTCCCCACCCATCTGGATTCAACGTACCCTTGTCTATCTCTGCCACTTTGACGCGGGGGTTTTGTCTGCAGTGCCCGCTTAACATAGGGTTTAGTAAGGAAGGGGTTCACATCATCAGAGCACTCCACGCTCACTGCCTCAGGCTTCCGGGATGGGGGCAAACTTCACCCCAGTTTAGAGACGGACATGAAGACCCAAGAGGGAGACAGGTCCTTCCACAGCATGACTTGAGCCCCACCTGGCCTGGCTCTGGGATCTTCTCCAAGTGTCTTCATTTCCACCTCCCTGCCTTTACCCTGACATCCCACTGCAGGAACCCACCAGCCTTCCTGATCCAGGACCACCCAGTTCCCGGGCCCCATTGCCCAAAAGTTGGGCTTGTCAAGGTCCCAGGGCGCGCAGGGAGGGGTTGTCATTCCCGCCCCTCATCCCTGGGAAGTCCCTCCCATTATCTAGTCTCAGTGCCTCCTGAGATTCCCACAATTCCCCGCTACCGTCCTGCCCCGTCCAGCCTACGGCCTTGGGACGGCCTTCGAGGACCCCCCGGCGCGCTCACCTCCGGGAGACCGCACTTGCCCTTATCCGCGTACGGCGACAGCCCCGCAGCGTAATTCACCGACATCGTCGCCGCCCCGACGGGAACAATAAAGTTTCCCTTGTTGAGGCCGCTTCCGCCGGAAGTCAGGCGATATGGCCAAGAGGGAGGAGCCACATTCCGGGTCTACACTTCTGGCCGCTTCCGCCAATGCGCATGTGCCAGGTCCTGACGCCTTCCGCGCCATGTTAAGTGCTGGCAGACAGAAACTACATTGCTTATGTAGATTCCTGCAGTCTGCGAGGAGACTGCCCAGGGACCCAGGCGGGAAACTGAGGCGGCAAATCGCATGACAGTTCTCCAGTAACATCCAAAATGAGGGGAACCAGCGACCAGTGCTCCTTTCACCCTTGTTAGAGAATAAGGAACTTTATGAGGACTATGTCAGAGAGTGAGGACCCAGGATCCCAGTTCATGGGGGTGGGAGGGTTGTGACAAAGCAGTCTTTTCGATCAGTGTGTGTCGCCGTTTTAATTACCTGCATTGCCTGTAGTTCCGGCTTCTTCAGGATTCTTGCCAAGCCCCTTTGGCTGGGAAAATTGCCCACCAGGCTGTGTATCTGAACTCGCCCCCGCACCCCGTTCGTCTAGAATTTCAGCCAATCAGAAGTAGAGTTTTGCGTTGCTAAGGCAATGCATTGTTGCCATGTCTTCAATTGGAACTTTGATTTCTAACAATTTGGTGCTGTGGCCGGGAAAACTCGACTTCCATCCGGGAAAGGAGCTGGGTATCGGGGATCAGCACCCCTGAACGGGGCCTCGCTCCTGGGTCTGGATTCTCAGTGACGCAGGGGAGGGGGCCCGCAAGCGCAGCGGCCCCGCAACTGCACGGGCCAAGGTGAGAAGCCACAGGAGGACGCAAAGTGTACCTTGGTGGCCGCGGAGGTCTTGGGGGTTGTGTGAGAGTGAATGGGAGGTGTCCGACACGAAGTGAGTGCGGGGTTGCGAGCCGCAGTTCCTCGGGCATCCAGGGTTCGCGCGACCCGCCTGTTGCTCACAGCGCCGTCTGCCGGATATCCTCCGCGGGGGCTTAGGGAGTCTGTTCACGTCCCCAAACTAGCCAAAGCCTTTGATGTACAGCAGGGAAGAGATGGAGGACCTGCTGACTTCCTTTCTAGGCTGAAGGACCAAATGACAAAGTATGCAGGATTAAATATAGGTGACTCTCCTGGGACACAGAATGCTTAACTTCCATTTGGTAACTAATAGGTGGCCAGACATTGCTAAGAAATGGCAGAAGGTAGAAAACTGGAAAGAGAAAAGCTTGGATATTTATTAAGGGAAGGCCAGAGGGTTAGTGTGAGACGGGATGAAGAAAAACAAAAGCAAAAGGCTAAGATTATGCTGTCCATCCTTGGGCAGGCCACTCAAGGAAAAAAGACTTCTCAAACAGCTGGGTATAAACCCACCCAAAAATCTCAAAAAGGAAGGCAGGATTCACAGACCCCAGGGGGAAAGAAAGAAAACAGATGTTATCAGTGTGGGAAACCAAGACATTTCAAGTGGGTATGCCCAGAAGGGAAGGAGGAAGAGAAGATAATTTCCCTTATGACCTTTGAGAAAGAATAGGGGGGGTTAGTTCTTTTATATGGATGGTACAGAATCTTAGGGCTACCAACCAAATAGTTCTCAACAGACACCCTGTAGTCCCAAACGCCTATGCCCTCAGCAGAATCCCTCCCAATCACCAGATGTTTAGTGTGGTAGATTTAAAGGATGCATTCTGGGCCTGCCCTCTAGTAGAGGATAGCAGGGACATTTTTGCCTTTGAATGGGAGGGCCCCGAAACTGGTAGGAAACAATATCAATGGACAGTTCTTCCAGAAGCTTTCACTGATTCTCCCAACTTGTTTGACCAAATTTTAGAATGAGTATTGAAAGAATTTGCCCTTCCCTCAAATTTATTACAACAGGTAGATGATATTCTGTTGTCCAGACTTATTGAAAAAGAATTGACTGATACTACAGTCAGTCTTTTAAATTTCCTGGGACACCAAGGACAAAGAGTCTTGAAAACCAAACTGCAGTTTGTAGAGGAAGAGGTAAGATATTTGGGACACCTTCATCAGTACAGGAAAACATAGACTGAGCCCTGAAAAGATGGAGGAGATGACTGGCATGCCTCTGCCTCTGACCAAGAGGGAGCTTTGAAAATTCTTAGAATTGATCGGGTATTGTAGGTTTTGGATAGAATCCTATGCTCTTAAAACCAAAATGTTATGTTCCAAACTACTAGAAAAGGAGCTTGATCCCTTAATTCAGAAACTAGAGGAAATTCTGATGATAGAGGACCTTAAACTGTAGTGGGGGGAGGGGACAATATGGCAGGAAACTGAAACTTAAAAAACTGAACCTGAAAACGGTCACATAAGCACTGTGAATGAAGTAGCCACTGAAATTATGAGTAACCATATGTGGGTTAAACTTTGCTTCTCGTTCCTGTAACCTGCTTGCAAGGGTATATGAGGCAAGGCCCCTTTGTTCTGGGGACTCAGTTTTTGGATGTGTATCCACTGAGTCACTGCTGGCATGCCAATAAACATTGCTTCCCCAAAAGCCTTGGTGTCCCGTTTCCCTGTTTGAACATCCCACAATATTTCAGAGGGACTCATTCTGGGATTTGGAGACAGTATTTCTACCTCCTTGTCACTGGGACTTGGCATCTCTGGCTCATCAAAAGTGCTGGTTCATGGGGAGGAGCCATCCCTGCCAGGCAAACCTGTTGAACAATGGAGGGAGCCACTCCTCTCAGTGCACCAAGGAGCAAGTCTCAGTTGCACAAAGGAACCTGGAGAAGGCTTGGGAACCAATTGGGAGCCCCACCCTCAGACTGGTAAGAACCCAGTTTCAAATAATAGGTTTGCCTTTAGAAGGCAGAAGGGGATCCTGATCACCTCCCAGAGACACCCGAGTAGCCCTGTCAGGGTGAAACCATGTCTCTCAGGTTAAGGGAGTTGGTTGGAATTCTGTGTGTGTGTGTGTGTGTGTGTGTGTGTGTGTGTGTGTGTGTGTGTATCTGAGACATAGCCTGGCTACAACATAGCCTGTGTAGGTGCAGTTCCTACAGATGGCAGCAGCTTTGCTGGGTATGTGGTAGTAACTCTGGACTCAGTCATTGTTTCAGTTGGGACTTCTGCACAAAAGGCTGAACTTGTCACCTTCACAGGGGTGCTACAGCCTGCTGCAGGAGTACAGGTAAACATCTACACTGACTCTAAATATGCCTTCACAATCATTCATGTCCATGGGGCCTTATATATAGAGAGAGGGGACTCATTAACTTGGAGGAAAAAGTATCAAGTATGGCCAGGAAATCTTCAAAATACTAGATGCTGTATGGCTACCTAAACAGGTCACAGTTATACACTGCCAAGGGCACCAAAAGGGAGATGCAATAATTGCTTAAGGAAACCAGAGAGCTGACAGAGAGGCCAAACAGGCAGTCCTCACAGGGGGACTGGCCCCAACTATCCTGACAGCTGCCTTGTTCCCATGTCCCTTAGTTGAATGGGACCCATGGTACACACCACAAGAACAGGCCTGGTTCAAGACTGAGAAGGAAAGCTTTCTACTGGACGGATGGTGGAAGTTTGCCGGTGGTTGCATCACCATCCCTAAGTCACTAGCTCCCACATTTGTTTAGCAGTTCCACAAAGGAACCATTCAGGGTGAACAGCCCTCGAGACCACACTGGCTCTTCTATGTCTCCAAGCTCTCCAGCATAAATAAGGCAGTATGCAAAAGATGTAGCCTGTGTGCCAAAACCAATCCCTGGCGGGGACCAAGAGCACCACCCCAGGTGCAGAGTGATGGCGGAACTCCTCTTGAAAACTTGATCGTGGTCTTTACTGAAATGCTGTGAGCTCGAGGATGAAAGTGTCTATTAGAGTTCATCTGCACCTTCTCAGGATGGGTGGAAACCTTCCCCACTGAGAAGTCCCAGGAGGTGGCCAGGTGTCTGCTAAAGAAAATCATCCCTCAGTTTGGAATACCTGTGTCTATTGGGTCAGATAATGGGCCAGCCTTCATGGCTGAGGTAGTACAGCTGGTGGCTAAGGGCTTAGGAATCACCTGCAATTTACATATGGCCTACGGCCCCCAAAGTCTGGGAAAAGTGGAACATATGAATAGGACCCTAAAATTACATCTGGGAAAACTATGTCAAGAGACCCATCTACAATGGGATCAGTTACTACCTATAGCATTATTGAGGATTAGGTCTAGTCCCATGAAACAGACAGGGCTTTCACCCTTTGAAGTCCTTTATGGGCACTGACCCCTCTTAATCAAGGGTATACGAGGATACCTCAAAGAAATAGATGACCTCACCTTGAGACAATAGATGCAGGCCGTTGGGGCAACTCTCTCAAAAATTAGTGACTGGGTCCAGGAGAGTCTTCCTGTTAGCCTGCTAGCTCCCACCCACCCATACAAACACCGGGATGCTGTCTGGGTCAAAAAGGGAAATATGAAACCATTAAAACCCCGTTGGAGGGGCCCTTTTGTTGTTATTTTGTCTACCCCCACAGCAGTTTAGGTAGCAGAAATTGCTCCCTGGATCCATCAACCAGGTGAAGCCAGCCTCTCTCAAGTAGGAGGGCATCCCTGTCCCAACCTCACTGTGCAAGATCAACCTCAGGAATGCCCATGCCCTTCCATGGCAGGACCCTCCAAAATCTCCACAGGGAGATGACAGCCTTGGTTTAGTCACTCCAGAAGCTGACTGATTTACACACAGCAGGAGACTGAGGAATCACCTGCCTCTTCTAACGGATGGGTCTTTTCTATGTTTTCATTCAGTTAAACTTAATTAGTTTTCTGCTCGAGGATCCTCAAACATCAAACTGTGAGTTATGCATGCATACTACTGGGGCAGGAAATGTTACCAGGACTTTATTGTCATACTTACTACTCCTGTGCAGGCACTGTTATCAGTCATGCACCCAAAACCATACCTCCTATTTGGTGTGCTCCCATGGTAGTCAGCATATCTGTTTCAACCTCACCTACAGTCCTCAGGAGCAATGGTTGGAGATCCGAAGCCTTCACAGAGCTGGGGAACGCATTAACCATACCAGGGTTAGCGACCCTAATGAGCCTGTGTCCATGTATTTTGATG